AGACTTTCGAAATCGCTCCTAGTCTTTCATTACTTATTGGGTGGTTCTCCATATACCTGTTTTTGGTATACCGATCTTCTTCCGTTTATCCGCTGTTACTAATGTATTTCATTCCGGTTTCCACACACATTATAATTCATGTACCATTTTATGCGATGTTACGACACAAGTGTGCGAGACTTCGCTTTGACTCTTGGCTCTGGGCTTGAGTATTGGGTCTGGGATTTGGGTTTGGGAGTGTCATTTCGAAGTCGCAGCAGTAATTGGGCCCAAGCGTTCCAAACGCTCAAGCAAATAACTCAGTTCGAAGCAGTAATTGAGCACAAACGTTCCAAACGCTCTAGCAAATAACTCATTGGACCTAGTAGACCTAATCAATCTAGGTCACTCATCTGCGTGTGATGGTTCCGCGCTGCATCACCAGTCAACGTAAGGGTCCGTGTCATGGGTATAAGGATGCGGGTCACAGTTGTGGACGAAGGGGCTAAAGTTTGTCACATATAATGGCTAGTGCAAGAGTGATAGGTAAACTGGCTTATTTTTTTGACTATGTCACTGTAAGGGTCTGAGTCAGAGGTCTGTAACAGGGGGCGGATTACAGGTCTGGTCATGATGCTTTGGGTTGAGATCCGGGTTTGTATGAAGGTGTGGGCGAGAAGTCTGTTGTGTTCGATCTGGATTAGAAGTGTGGTCTTCATGATATGGGTCACAGTTGTGGATGAAGGAGCTAAAGTTGGTCACATGTAATGGCTAATGCAACAGTGACAGGTGAACTGACTTATTTTTTTGACTATGTCACTGAAAGGGTCTGGGTCAGAGGTCTGTAACAGTGGGCGGATTAAAGGTGTGGTCATCATGCTTTGGGTTGAGATCTGGGTTTGTTTGAAGGTGTGGGCGAGAAGTCTGTTGTGTTCGGTCTGGATTAGAAGTGTGGTCTTCATGCTTTGGGTCAACAAACACTATTTTTTGGCTCTCACTAAAAAAGGGGAGTGGGGCTGCCACTACTGAGAGGAGCTCGCACCAGGGCATGAATTTAGGATCGGTGCTGGGAATTAGGATTCGAAATGGGATTTGGGACTCGTAGTAGGGTTGAGAACCCTTTCTCTTGTTTATTTCACAGTTTGTGATCTGTTTTTTTTTTTTGCCTGTTTTTGTTTTTGGGCAATGCACTTTTTTTACAGACAAGTGCAAAGAGAACCATAGTGGGGAAATGGACTTAGTATTGTCTTCACTGGCTGAATTGGTAACAAGTTGTTAATGACCCTTGGACTCGGTTTTAATGGGTTTTGAGGGCTCTATAAATGGGATTTAAGGGCCACAGATAAGAGTTGCCACAAATTGAACTGGACATATGTTTTTCACTTTGTAATTAGAATGGACAGTTCGGTTATTCAAGGCATTCAGTACATCAAACAGTCAATGAAACGGAATGAACCACCGAACCAAGCAACGAACCAAGCAAAGAAGCCGCTGACGGGATCCAAAGACGGAGAGAGAGAGAGAGAGAGAGAGAGAGAGAGAGAGAGAGAGAGAGAGAGAAACAAAGAGAGAGAGCATCTGTCCAAACACTGATCCAAATATAGATCCAATCAACGAACTAATCCCTGATCCAATTGTTGATGTTTGGCCACCGTTGGGCGCACCGATCCTAGTACTGAACAAAGCGGCGACCCTTGATACAACGAAACAATTGCTGAACAAATCACGGAACAAATCGCGAAAGTAAGCGCCCAGATAAAATGGCCCCTCCCACGTGTTCGTTGCTTGTTTTCGTTTTTTCGTTTCTCTGTTCATTGATTATCTGTATCCGTAGTTCCTCCTTTGTCGAAAATCCACTTCTTCGAAAACTTCACAGCGTAGCTCTGTCCTTGAAGTAAAATCGTCGATGCTGTTGATGTCGTCGTGGTCGGAACTGCGAATATAACTTAATAATTAAATGCATATCGTCATAGAAATTCTTCAGAAGTGTTATATTAACGTCTAAATTCCGGAATTGTTTTTGGTATATTCTCACGTTACATTCTCTGAATTAGGGTTTTGTCGTAGCTGTGTTTTGAAATTTTGATTCCGAAGAACGATCTATTTCGTGTTTCTTACATTTGTCATTTTTAGATACCCTTCTATTCCGCGAATCACAAAATCTACACAACGTTTGAAGTTTGGCGTTTCTTTAATGTAATTGACGTTGCCTATATCATGAAAGACTTACTTCAAATAACCACAATTTTTTTTTTTGCTCTACTTATGAATAAGTCGCTCGTACTTATGGATATGTCATGCCGCAAAAGATAACGAAATTTTCGGAAATAATCTCGTTTTTGTCATCCTACCATCTTATCATGGTGATTTTTTTCCAATCCATAATGCGAACTTCCTTCGTTTTGGATTATAAATATCTAACAATTGTGTTTGTTTATAAAAGTGCGTGTGTGTGTGTGAGAGAGAGAGAGAGAGAGAGAAAACACGTCTTTTACCCGCCGAATTTACCGTCCTCCATCGCCACAGATGAATGCATTATTATTTTTTATTTTTTTTTGCACTTCAAATGCAACTTTTTCGTGTTTGTTTGTCGATTTATTTTATTTTTTATTCCCGCGTTCACGTTCTTTTGTCTTCCTATAATATTTAAGGTTGTCAATAATTTCATTTTTCGTTGACCGTCTATTTTGTATTTTTTTTTTCATTCGTTGTTTTCGATGAGCACGTCCCACCCCACTCTCGACCTCCACCTTCCCCTGCACGGTTGATAGCTTGATGAGACCCGTCACCACAAGTTGTTCATGACACGTCACCCCAGCTAAGTGAGGTCACTCGGAATGTCGTTATGCTCAGTGTCACTTTTACAATGCACTTGGGCCTCCCAAGGACTCGGGTGTCTGTTTCTGATAGGGAACATTTTTTTTTTTTTGTGCATGGTGTGTCCCGGAACTGTTACCCGCTATTGGCCTCTTAGAACGTTCTGCTTTGGTCTGTGCTGTGTACGACGTGGCTATCGTGTGTGCTTTTGTAGATGTTAGTGAATAACTTTCACATGTCATTACAAGGAATAAAGTGGATTAGGTACAAGAGACGAAGCTGATTCTTCTTTTATACTTTCTGTCCAGGTTAGGAAAAATGTTGCGAAGGATGGATAAGCTTCATAGAGGAGATGTAACCTTTTTTCCCCGAGTAGAAAATACGGTCACTATCGCTAACACGGTTAGTAGGGGAAGGTGTAGTTTAGCTAGAACGGTAAGAACGATAATGACCACGTGTTCTATTCAGGGAAAGATGGTAATGAATTATTAGTAGATTACATTCCTCAACTCTTTTCGTGCTTTCTGTTCAGGAATTCACCATGGACGGGAAGGAGCCGCAACATTCGGAAGTGAAGAGAAAGGGGACAGCGAAAAGTAGAGGGAAATGGGCAGTTAAACGACATTTTCTTCGGAAGTTTAATAAGCAAGAAAACGATGCAAGGGAGGAAATTCTTGCAGGTCCACAACCAAGAGGAGAGTTACAGGGAACGATAGAATGATCTTTGTACATTATAATAGATTATGAAACGGGAGAAGCTGAGAAAACCGTTGATGAAGAAAAAAAGGAGAAATAAGAAGAGAAAGAGGCAATGTTGGAGAGAATGGTGAGAAAAAAGGTGGTGATGGTGATGTAGTATATAATGCAAAAGGCCGAATTGGCCAAGAGGAATGTAACGAAGAGCAAAATGATAAAGGTGGTGATGAAGTGCATAGTGAACATGATGGAGAGGAAGGTGAAAAACAATGTGGTGATGGTGATAAAATATATAGTGCAAAAAGCCGAATTGGCTAAGAGCGATGTGACGAAGAGCAAAATGATAAAGATGGTGATGAAGTGCATAGTGCCAAAGGCCAAGATCAGTATGAGAGACGTGACGAAGAGCAAAAGGACGATGGTAACGACGAAAGGGAATTAATGGGATCAGATATAAAGGACGAATAAGCTTCGTGGATGTTAGTGAATAGCTTTCACATGTGAATGCTAAACGTTTTTTGTACTTTCTGTCCATGTTAGAAAAAGTGTTGCAAAGAATGAATCAGCTTCATAAAAGAGATGTAACCTTCTTTCCCCGAGTAGAAAACACGGTCATTACAGCTGACACGGTTAGTAGGGGCAAGGTGCAGTCTAACTACAGTGAAGAACGAATAATGACCATATATTATATTTGGGAGAAGACGATAATGAATCAAAGTATTGCGAAGGATGGATAAGCTTCATAGAGAAGATGTAACCTTCTTTCCCCGAGTAGAAAACACAATCATTATAGCTGACACGGTTAGTAGGGGCAAGGTGTAGTCTAGCTACAACGATAAAAACGAATAATGATTATGTGTTCTATTCGGGGGAAGACGGTACTAAATTATTAGTAGATTAAGTTCCTCAACTATTTTCGTGCTTTCTATCTAGGAATTTACCATGGAGGAGAAGGAGCCGCAACATTCGGAAGTGAAGGGAAAGTGGAAAGAGAAAGGTGGGAAAAAATTGGCAGTTAGACGATATTTCCTTCGTAAGTTCAGTACGCAAGAAGAAACTGCAAGGGAGGAAGTTTTGCAGGTGTACCACTAAGAAGTTGCATCAAAGGACATAGTCAATGAGGAGAAGGGAAAAAAAAGTTACAAGGAACAATAGGAGGATCTTCGCACATCACAATAGATTATGAAAGAGGAGAAGCTGAAAAAATAAATGATGAAGGAGACAAGAAGAAAGAGAAAGAAAAAGAGGAAGACGATGGAAAGAAAGGTGTAAAGAAAATGGTGATGGTGACAACGTGCATAATGCAAAAGGCGAGGATGATCAAGAGAGGTGTAATGAAAAGCAAAATGATAAAGCTGGTGATAAAGTACATAGTGCGAAAGACCAGGATCAGCATAAGGGATGTGCCGAAGAGTAAAAAGATTAAAGGGGCGACGGAAAGGGTATTGACAAAAAGGGTAGTGACGAAAAGGGATAAGAACAAACGTGAAGAACATGACAATGTACAGGACGATGATGATGAAGCTGACAAAGAGCATAGAGAAAAAAAGGAGGAAGAGGAATACAACAAAGGTGTACATGATGAAGAGGAAAATGATGGGGATGAAGTTGGTAAAGGGCAAGCTCACCAAGAGGTCAGTGACGGAGAGGGTGACAACAAAGTGGGTAAGAACGAGGACAAAAATAATCAAGAACTCGATGATGACAACGACGGAGGTGACGGATATAATGAACAGCGAATGGAGGACGGAGCCAAAGAAAAAAGGGACGAAGACAAAAGAAAAGAAGAGGGAAAATAGGTAGGTGATCAAGAGGAAGTGGATAAAGTTGCAACAAAAAAAAATGTACCCGACAATGATAATGATGGTGATGAAGAAAAAAATGGGTTTGAACACGATGAGTAGGTGGGTGAAGGAGAGGAAGATCATAAAAGGGAAGATAATGCAGAGGGCGTCAACAGAAAGGGGAGAAAAAGAAAGAATGATAAGAGGTAGGTCATGACAATGAGGAAGGTGATGAAAATGATGAGAACCGAACGGAGGAGGGGGCTGAAGAGAAAGAGGAAGAAGAGAAAACGGATGAAAAAAGCGGTGATGAAGACCAAAGGAAAAAGAAAAAAGGGATGAAGACAAAAAGATTTCAGAGCACCGCACGAAGGAGGGTGCTGCAGAGAAAGAGAAAGAAGAGGAAATGGAAGAAGAAAGCTGTGATGAAAAGGAAGGGGATAAAAATGAAAGTGATGAAGTCGAAAGGTATGAAGTGTCGAGCGATGAAAAAGATAGAGAAGAACACGATGCAGAGCGAGAAGATGAAGGGGATGATGATGATAAAGACGAAGGGGATAGTGATGAAGAGGAAGGGGATGAAGAGGAAGGTGGTGAAGTCGAAAGGGATGAAGTGCCGAGCGATAAAGAAGATATAAAAGAGCACGATGCAGAACGAGAAAAGAAACATTATTTTGAGAAGGCAGTTGACGAAGGAGATGATGATGATAGAAACGAAGATGAAAAAGAAAAACGAAGAATTTACGATGCGGCATTGGAAGATGAAAAAAGACAAGCAACTTTTTTCGAGCACAATTCCTTGCATTCTGAAACACACTATGGTAGTAGAGATGCTGCATGTAAACAATCACTACGAGAACTAAAAGGGAAAAGGAAGCAAAGAGACGAAGACACAGCGGAGGACAAGGAAAGTGTTGAGAACAGCGATGATGCGGAAATTCTTCCTGGACCAGAGGATGTAAATGAAGAAAATATAGTTTTCTTGTCAGAAGCGTCGAAAGCAGAGGAGCACATGGAAGATGTACAAAGCCCCAGAAGTGAAAACACTCCTCATAGGAAAAGTATAGCCGATGTTGAGGGACATGAGGGACATGCAGTGCATGCAGGGGATGAAAGTAGGTTAGAGAGAAGCGCACGCTCTTCTCGAGGGAGAAATGAAAATATGATGGAAGCTTCGGTACGATCCAGTGAAGAAGAAGAGGGAGAAAAGGGAATAAAGAATGCAGATGTAGAAGACATTACGGGTATATGTCCACACTAGAAGACCGACGATCCTACTTTAACGACGCTAAGAAAATTAATCAGAGTGATCATGACATCGTGAGTGATCATTTAGAGCTGGCGTCAGATAAATATGCATTTGACAACCAACGATGCGGGTTGAAAAATTTTAACGGGATTCGGGACGTGTCACCAAGAGCTGTGTTTTTCAGACTATGACCACAAGAGGTGTTTGAGATTATTGTGAAGAAAACAAACGAATATGCGGAGCAACGACTGGCGGCGGTGAGGAGAGCATCGCAAAAGCCGCGAGCATGGAGACCGACAGATCGGTTGGACATGATATGTTTTTTTTGTCTCGTTATAGCTATGGGTTTCAATCGATTACCAAATATGAAATATTATTGAAAAAGTGGTGCGCAAGGTGCAATTTCCTTCACAGATTTTTGAAGAGTTATGAGTCAAACACGATTTGAGGATATAAAACGAATGCTCCATTTGCACAATTCAACCGATAGGCCGGACAACAAGAACTGTAGAGAATATCGATTATGACAATTGGATCCTTGAATAGAAAAATTGAGAATTGTAGAGCAAAGGTATTTCTATCCTGGAAAGGTGTTATGTTTGACGAGAGGACAATCCCGACGAAGAATTATTATTACCCCGTCAAGGTAGTAAATAAGAGGAAACCTCACCTTGAAGGTATTAAGGAGTGGAGTTTGAATGATTGTGAGATGAGATATCAATTTGATTTCGATGTTTACGATCACGTCCATAGGAACCCTGCAACAGTAAGAGAGTCGGGAGAGAGATTAAGAAATAAACATTTAGGCGTGTATCAAAGAATTGTGTATGATAGAGTGCAAGCTCTGGGCAGAGGACATATCACTGTGATGGATAGGACTTTTGCTGAGGTTCGCTTGTTCCAACTGTTGAACACGGAAAATAGAATTCTTGCGACGGACCCAGTAAAGTTGCCTTACCAAAAACCGACCGAAAACCGAGCTGGCAGGAAAAGACTGCCTTTGCAATTTCCGTCGAAGTTTGAGGTTAGACGAAAATGCCCCCCAAGGTTCAATGTTGTGGACATATGCACATCGACTGCACGTTGGTATGATTACTTGTGTTTGGAAAGCAAGATCTAATACTATACCTTTTGTCTCAACGTCGTACGACTGTCGTCCTGTCGAGGAGGAGAAATGGGTAGGAGGAGAGAAAAATGTTATCGTGAAACCCGAATGCATTATGTTTTATTCGAAACACATGCACGCCACGGATGCCTTTAATAAAATATGTAACGGACGGATATAATATGAAGAGATGATGACATCGAGATGGTGGAGGCTTCGATATCTTTGCGGAAGGTTGGTTGCGGTAGTGACGAATGCTTGCATCCTTAAAAAGGTAGGTGGGGCATTTGTTCAGTCACATGAGAATTTTTGTTTAGAATTGCAGGCTGAATTAGTGATTTGCTTTTTTATAGGAACATCAATTCCTCAGCAGCTCAGTTACGAAGATTCTCGGACTGCTGTTCCCCACGAATCTCAATATCCTGGAAGGTTTACGGATGCACACTATCCTGAATTGACTGTACCGGATGAAGACGGCGAACATTTTGCACTCCACTGTGTCGTTTGCACGTCGCTTTGCAAAAGGAAGTACCCTGGGTGGATATTGCATCGGATAACCCATACATGTGCAACTTGTACAGTGCCTTTGTGCACAGTTCCTTGTTTTAGGTTGTTCCATCAATATGCCATCGACGGGTACGATTATAATTATTGCTCCTCGAAGCAACCCGAAGGTGCGAAAAAGTGAAGGAGAAGGTCAAGTAAGATAAATTACAATCCTCAACTTTGCGCGTCTGTCGTAAGAGGGGAGAGGATTCCAATGAATTTGCATTATGATGTGGCAAAAAAAGGCGAAGGATGGGAACAAATTGTGGAGGAGGAAATGTTTCAATACTCCGAGATGGAGCTATCAGAGTAATATTGTGAGATAGTTGAAATATTGTTTTAGAGGTTTATCTATTGAATGTAAGATATATACCGAATAATGAGGAGAGTGAAATTTCAAGGTTACATATATGAATTATACATCCTATCGTAAAGAGGAGGAAAATTATATTCATATTTTGGTCCCTCACGAGGTATTTATAATACATGTTTGGCGGGATGACAGATGTTGTGTAGGGGGTAGAAAGTGCACAAAGGATATTCAACGACACAGACAGAGGAAACATTTGATAATATTCATCGTCAAATACTGGCGACGGTGGATAAACTTGCGCAACTAAGATATGAGATGTTTGATTGTGCGAGAAATGTGGTGGAAACAAAAACTCGTTTGCTAAAACCGGAATGTCGCTACAGTGAAAAAGGTACATCGACGGTAAAAAGGGAGTATAAAAAAAATCTACAGTTAAAAATGTCCGTAATGAAGGAAGAGATCATCGAGCTTTGTGATCAAGTTGCCATTTTAAAAAATGACCGAGATGAATTATTGGGAGAGAATAATATGTTACGGAAAAAACTCCAACGTTTTTTCTCAAATGTGGGACGACAAATAAGTGGTACCCATCGCAAAGAGGGTTTCAGTGATAAACCATCATCTCGAATTGCGTTTTTTCTCAAATGCGGGACGACAAAGTGGACTGGGGTGTAAGTTGAGCCTCAATGTGAGCACATAACCCCACCCCAGCACAGGTACTCGTTTTTCCCTGTGTCCCGGTGTACCTAGTCACACACACCCAACCACAAGATTACGTAACCACCACACTTCAGGAACAATTGATCACAAGAATCGAACACATGACCTCCATATTCGGAGGCACACACTCTACCAAACGGAAAAGTGGGCTGGGGTGAAAGTTAAGCCTGAATGTGAGCATTTGACCCCCCCAGCACGGGTACTCGTTTTTCCTCGTGTCCCGGTGTACTCAGTCACGCACACCCAACCACAAGATTACGTAGCCACCACACTGCAGCAACAACACCAGGTTACCACACTGCTAGAGATAGTGTTGATCACAAGAATCGAACACATGACCTCCATATTCGGAGGCACACACTCTACCAAACAACAAAGTGGACTGGGGTGAAAGTTAAGCCCCAATGCGAGCACTTAACCCCACCCCGGCACAGGTACTCGTTTTTCCCCGTGTCCCGGTGTACCCAGTCACACACACCCAACCACAAGATTACGTAGCCACCACACTGCAGCAACAACAGCAGGTTACCACACTGCTAGAGATCGTGCTGATCACAAGAATCGAACACATGACCTCCATATTCGGAGGCACACACTCTACTAAACGGCAAAGTGGACTGGGGTGAAAGTTAAGCCTCAATGTGAGCACTTAACCCCACCCCAGAACAGGTACTCGTTTTTCGCCGTGTCCCGGTGTACCCAGTGACACACACCCTACCAAAAGATTACGTAGCCACCACACTTCAACAACAACAGCAGGTTACCACGCTGCTAGAGATAGTGTTGATCACAAAAATCGAACGGATGACCTCCATATTCAGAGACACATACTCTACCAAACGGCAAAGTGGACTGGGGTGAAAGTTAAGCCTCAATGTGAGCACTCAACCCCACCCCCAAACGGGTACTCGTTTTTCCCCGTGTCCCGGTGTACCCAGTCACACACACCCAACCACAAGATTACGTAACCACCACACTGCAGCAACAACAGCAGGTTACCACGCTGCTAGAGATTGTGTTGATCATAAGAATCGAACACATGACCTCCATATTCGGAGGTACACACTCTACCAAACGGCAAAGTGGACTGGGGTGAAAGTTAAGCCTCAATGTGAGCACTTAACCCCACCCCAGCACAGATACTCGTTTTTCCCCCTGTCCCGGTGTACCCAGTCACACACACCCAACCACAAGATTACGTAGCCACCACACTGCAGCAACAACAACAGGTTACCACGCTGCTAGAGATAGTGTTGATCACAAGAATCGAACACATGACCTCCATATTCGGAGACACACACTCTACGAAACGGCAAAGTGGACTGGGGTGAAAGTTAAGCCTGAATGTGAGCACTTAACCCCACCCCAGCACGGGTACTCGTTTTTGCCTGTGTCCCGGTGTACCCGGTCACACACACCCAACCACAAGATTACGTAGCCACCACACTGCAGCAACAACAGCAAGTTACCACGCTGCTAGATTTATTATTGATCACAAGAATCGAACACATGACCTGCATATTTTGAGGCACACACTCTACCAAACTTTGCAAGTTAAGCCTCAATGTGAGCACTTAACCCCACCCCAGCACGGGCACTCGTTTGTCCCCGTGTCCCGATGTACCCAACCGCACACACCCAACCATAAGATTACATAGCCACCACACTTCAGCAACAACAGCAGGTTACCACGCTGCTAGAGATAATGTTGATCACAAGAATCGAACACATGACCTCCATATTCGGAAGCACACACTCTACCAAACGGCAAAGTGGACTGGGGTGAAAATTAAGCCTCAATGTGAGCACTTAACCCCACCCCAGCTCGGGTACTCGTTTTTCCCAGTGTTCCGGTGTACCCAGTCACACGCACCCAACCACAAGATTACGTAGCCACCACACTGCAATAACAACGGGAGAGAGAGAGAGAGAGAGAGAGAGAGAGAGAGAGAGAGAGAGAGAGAGAGAGAGAGAGAGAGAAAGAGCAGAGAGAAAAAAAAAAAAAAAAAAAAAAAAAAAGAGAGAGAGAGAAAGAAAGAAAGAAAGAAAGAAAGAAAGAGTGAGGTGAGGAGAGAGTCCTATCTCGAGATAGATAGATAGATAGATAGATAGAAAGATAGATAGATAAATAGATAGATAGATAGATAGATAGATAGATAGATAGATAGATAGATAGATAGAGAGAGAGAGAGAGAGAGAGAGAGAGAAGCGAGAAAAAAATACGGTAAGTTTTGTAATAGTAACTTATTCTCCTATCTTTATACTCTATATACATATAGGAGAAGGGGGAGCGGGATGAAATACTATAAGTTATGTAATAGTTACTTATCTTTCTATCTTTATACTCTATATACATATAGGATTTTTCCCTCAGTCTCTTGTTTGTCTCTCTCTCTCTCTCTCTCTCTCTCTCTCTCTCTCTCTCTCTCTCTC